ATTATTGCCTCATTAGCTGCCAGAGGCAATAGTCCCGAACTGAAGTCGGCCACGAAGTCAGCCAAGACTTGCGACTTAATTGTAGTCCTCGATTTATATTCTATATCAAATTCGCTCATTTTGACGGCCCATTTGGCCAACCTACCCGAGAGTTTGGGTTTATGGAGGATATTCCTCAAAGGGAAAGTAGTTACCATAACTATCGGGTGGCATTGGAAGTAGGGCCTCAGCTTCCGAGCGGCGACTATGAGAGCTAAGGCCAGCTTTTCCAGATTTGAGTAGCGAGTTTCTGCTCCCGTTAAAATTTTGTTAACGTAATAAATGGGAGATTGCGTACCTTCGTCCTCTCGGACTAAAACTGCACTTACCGCTATTTCTGAAACCGTGAGGTAGACTAGCAACGTTTCACCTTCTTTTTGTTTTGAGAGCAACGGAGGGCTTGACAAATATTTCTTCAACTCCTTCATCGCTTGCTGACACTCCGGTTTCCATTCGAAATTATTTTTCTTTTTGAGTAGTGCGAAGAAGCGATGACATTTTTTTGATGAACGGGAAATGAACCTGCTCAAAGCTGCCAATCTCCTTATGAGCCTCTGGACTTCTTTTACGTTAGACAATTGATCCAGGATGTCCTATATGGCCTTGATTTTGTCGGGATTTAACTCAATTCCCCTTTGTGAGACCAAGAATCCTAGAAACTTACCCGAACTGACCCCGAACACACACTTCTCGGGGTTAAGTTTCATATTGTGCTCCCTCAAGATGTCGAATATTTCTTGCAGATGTTTCAAGTGGTCACCTGCATTCAAAGACTTAATGAGCATGTCGTCTATATATACTTTTATAGTCTTTCCTATTTGTTTTTCGAACATCTTATTCACGAGCCGTTGATAAGTGGCTCCGGCATTTTTCAGTCCGAAGGGCATCACATTGTAACAATATATACCAAAATTCATTATAAACGAAATCTTTTCCTGATCTTCTGGGTTCATCTTGATTTGATTGTACCCAGAATAAGCATCGAGGAAACTCATTAACTCGTGCCTGGCCGTAGCATCAATCATCTGATCGATATTTGGCAATAGGAATGAGTTTTTCGGGCACGCCTTATTAAGATCCTTATAATCTACACACATGCAGAATTTATTATTTTTCTTAGGTACTACTATTATATTGGCTAGCCAGTCCGAATATCTTACCTCTCAGATTGAACCAATCTTAAGTAAATGAGTTACCTCTTCTTTGACGAATTTATTCCTTGTTTCAGCAATAGGGCGCTTCTTTTGCCTTACCGGAGGTATGTTGGGATCTAAGCGTAACTTGTGTACGGCTATCTCCGTTGGAATTCCTGTCATATCCTCGTGCGACCATGCAAAACAGTCGGTGTTAGTTTTAAGGAATTCAATAAAAGCAGACCCGAGTTCCAGGTGCAGTCCTATTCCCAAATTGAACTTCCTTTCTAGGAATTCTTCGAACAACGCAACCTGCTCCAATTCTTCTGTCGTGGATTTCGTCGCGTCTGTCTCTTTCGGTACTTGAAAATACCTTGATACCTGATATTGTTCCGACTCTTCTATCCCCGGGTTATCTTCCTCTGGTTTGGGGGCAGGTGCCGGTTCCAGTAATTGCTATGCCGCACGTTCCTTTCCTTTGCTACTGGAAACCGAAATTGCATTCATCTCCCTTGCTGCCGGTTGATCACCCCTTATCTGTTTGATACCCTCGAGTGTTGGAAATTTTAACAATTGGTGATATGTTGAAGGCACGACTTTCATCTCATGCAGCCATGGTCTTCCCAAGATGATGTTATATCCCATGTCTCCATCTACTACTTCGAAGAGTGTTGTCTTCATTACTCCCTCAGTGTTCGTGAGCAGCAAAATTTCTCCCCGGGTTATCATGCTTGCGAGGTTGAATCCGGCGAGGAGTTTCGTTGTCGGGATAATGCTTCCAGTGAGTTTAGCTTGCTCTAGTACTCTCTATTGTATGATATTAGCTGAATTTTCTGGATTCACTAAAACACGATTAATTTTAAAATCTAATACATTTAAAGAAATTACCAGTGTATCATTGTGTGGCAGTAGTAATCCATCTGCATCTTCGTCCGTGAATGTGATATTGTCTTCCCGGAGCCTCTTACTATGAGTTATCGACACTTTTGTCTTCTTTGCTGCCGAAAAGGTGACCCCGTTAATTTCATTCCCTCCGAAGATCATGTTGATCGTTTGGTGTGGATGTTCTTCTCCTGCTTTCGAGGTTTCCACATCGCCCCTGTTCCGACCATAGTTATTTTTAGCTCGATCGCTCAAGAATTCTCTGAGGTGACCATTCTTTAACAGCGTTGCCACTTCTTCCCGGAGGTGTCGGTAGTCTCCAGTCTGGTGGCCGTTAGTGCCATGGTACTCACACCATAAATTGGGATCCCTTTGGCTAGGATCAGATTTCATAGGTCTTGGGAATCGTGCCTCTTTGATATTCCTCATGGCCGACACCAACTCTACGACACTGACATTGAAGTTATATTCTGATAACCTTGGGTAAGAAGAATCTCGTGACTCTGAGATTTCTCTATCCTGCAACGATCTGTTGTTCCGGTCACGATCGGTCCTTCTATCAACGGTGAACCTGTTTGTTGTCCGAAAGTTCCTGTCGCGACCTCCTATCCGCTTGTAGGGTAAAAATCGGCCTCTCGATGTCCGTCTATCCGTGTCAATATCATCTTTCATTTTTTCTCTGTTCTTCTCCCGTCCTTTGGTCGACGATGGAAAGCCAACTTGATCATCTCCGATCCTTATTTTCGACTCGTACCGGTTGTAGACATCCGCCCAAGTTATCGCTTGGAACTCGAGCAGACTTTCCTTCAACTTCTGAGAAGCGTCCGAACTTCTCGGATTTAAACCTTTGGTGAATGCTTCAGCTGCCATTCATCCGGGACCGCCGGTAGTAACATCCTTTCCTTCTGGAACCGGGTGACGTACTCTTGTAATAACTCTGACTCTCCCTGCGTGATCTTGAATATGTCGGCCTTTCGGGCCTGCACCTTTCTGGCACCGGCCTGAGCCTTGATGAAAGAATCCGCGAGCATCTCAAAGGAATCTATAGAATGCTCGGGCAATAGTGAATACCATGTTAAAGCTCCCCTCGTGAGAGTCTCACCAAATTTCTTCAGCAACACAGACTCAATTTCGTGAGGAGCCAAATCATTTCCTTTCACTGCTGTTGTGTAAGTGGTAATGTGCTCTTGTGAATCTGAAGTTCCGTCATACTTCGGCACCTCGGGCATTTTGAACCGCTTCAGGATTAATTCTGGGGCCGCACTCGGCTTGTACGGTAATTGAACATACTTCTTCAAATCCTGGCCTTTCAATACTGGTGGCGCACCCGGGACTTGATACATGCGGGCGTTTACTTCCTTCATGAACTGTAAAAGCTCCTCCGTGAATGAGTCGTTATCATTGTTGAGGCCGGATCTGCTCCCTCCGGCCCCGCCGGAGCCAACTTCGCCCCTGGGAGTGTTGTTGTCGACTCTTCGCGTCATTTGGTTTGCGGGAACCTCGGGAGGAATTGGATCTCGCTTGTTCGCGTTATTTGAAGCACCTAATAGCGCCTGCTTTAGTTCCGTCATAACCTGATCCTTCCGCATGAGATGGCCTAGAATGATTGCTTGTTGCTCTTGCAGGACCCTCACTGCACCCGCTACATGCTCCTCATCAGCATCATCAGGAGTCCTCTCCCGAACCTGTCGAGGGTATCGCCCGTCATGCGTCAGTGTGGCGTCGTTCTCCTCATTGCGAGTGTCACTGATTGTATCCTCGAAATGAGGCTGCTCCCCTTGAATTTCAGGGTTGCGTGTGCCGTTAATAGTGTTATCTGCCATTTCTTTTGTGATTTTTGCTAAGACAAAAATAATCAAACTTGTTAGTAAAAAGGGCAAAGATCAATTTAATTGCATGGTTGTCTAGGCCCCATGGTGGGCGCCAAGCTGTTTATCCGAAAAACAGTACAGTTGAATTTGTTTGTAGTTTCTAGACAAGTGAATTAATTTGATCCAAAAAGTGATGAAATAACTGATAAAATATGAAATACTTAGCTTTAGAATATAGACGAAACATCAGAGCTAATGAGTCCGAGAACAAGGTTTCCGGGCACAACAATGATAAGATCAAAAGCGAGAGAATAAAGTTGCATTAAAATGCTGTAGCGTAAGTGTTACCAAGCACAAAACATTTAATACTCCTTTTATGATCATTATTCCTTCCGGTGACAAGCGGAATAGCTATGTTCAGTGGCCATCTCCATCTTGTGTTCCACGTGTCCTTCCTTTAAGCGGCCACGTGTCATGTCGTAATTTTCCCCCGTAAAAAAACGCAAACAAAATGTATATCACCTACAAAATGTATATTACCTCTTTGTGCGTTGTCATGCGGCAGCTTGTGCTTGTGTCGGTGGTCCCAAACGAATTCGATAACAATGACGCCGTGCACAATGAATGAGGCGTTGCATTTTTGTTTATTTTTTGATAATAACTAAGGCGTTTCGTTGTTGGACCTTTATTAAGAGGAAGAGAAGACCTAAAACATGGGATGTTACTTTTCTAGCCCCCATGTGGATTATATATAGGAGGAGAGAATACGCGAGCGTTTGAAACAGTGATTTGTAAGTAGAAGAATATCCTCTTGTTTCTAGTTTCGGTTTTCCTTTTTTTTTTTTTT